AGGTATTGTCATTGGAATTTGAGGAGGTAAATTATTATATAATTGTGATGGTTGTTTAAAGAATTCGGGAGGTAAATTGGATTGAATTGAAGTAGGTTGTTCAAAACTTCTCCTATGAGCAGTTATATAAGGGTTCATTTTAGGAGATGGAGGGGTCGGAGAATATGAGACTGGATAGCTTCCTCCCATGATAGGAGATGGAGGAGTTGAATACGAAAGCGGATAGCTTCCCATGATAGGGGATGGAGGAGTTGAATACGAAAGTGGATATGGTCCAAAGGTACCAGGTGGATTATATGTGGTCATTTTTGGCGAAGATGGTTGATAAGGCGCAACTTGATTTGATGCTTCTTGTTTTTGTTCCTGTGCTGGATGAGGCGGAAGCGGAACGGTATAGCCTTCAATGATTTCTGACTCGGTAGGACTACGAGTGTTACCATCATCCTTTTTATTACTTTCATATTGTTGTTGATGTTGCTGAAGGTTCTGTTGAGAGATTGGTGCTTGCATCCTTACAGAAGACTGTGTCGTGCTAACGGTAACATTCTCGTATTGTACAACGGTTTCTTCAATTTCAGTAGTTGTATTATTCAGTATTTTCCTTGACGTTTGTATTTTATTTGTGGTGGTTTGAGTAATTATGGGTCCACCGCTAGTATTTATCGTATTCATTAATGGTTGAACCTGCTGTCCGCCAACTTCCATACCATTATTATAACTTTGTTGCGATTGTTGTGGTTGTTGAGGGTACTGTTGCTGATACTGTTGAGTTGGCTGTGGTGGATATGGTTGAGTTTGTTGTGGATATGATTGAGGTGGTGGTTGAGGTGGTGGTTGCTGCCCATATTGTTGTCGATATTGTTGAGGATATTGTGAATACTGCTGGGGCTGTTGTGGATATTGCGGTGGTGGGTATTGAGGAGGTGGGTATTGCTGTGGATATCCTATCTGTTGTTGAGGATATGGTTGTTGATATTGCTGAGGTGGATATTGCTGTAATTGCGCATTCTGCGTTGGTGGAGTACGAGGATTTTGACGTGATTGTATCGGAGGTTGACGATTAGGAAGTGGTGCGTTCATCATTACAGGACTCTGCCTTGGTAAATTTGCATTTACTGGAACGGGACTTTGTTGTTTACGAGTATTACGAGCTCCCGTTGGATTTGATCTTCCCGCGGTCATTTGGCTCATTTGATCGGAAGTTGATGGTGATGGTGGTGGTCTTGTTCCTTGACGTACTGGTAAATGCACATTGTTCATCATTGGGCTTTTGTGGCCACGAGCACCATTCGGCGATTGGCGACCTTGCATCGGGGGTTGACGGTTAGAAGCTTGTGGGTTAATTGGATACGGTGATTCTCTTCCACGTACGCCACTATATGGACTTTGCTTTCCAGGTACTAATGAACTTGGAGTGGCCGGACTTGGTTTTGGTGATTGATGACCTTGCTTCTGAGTTGGGCGTCCTGTTTGCGGATAAGCCGCTGATTGATTATAATTTTCTTTATCTTGATCATAAGTTTCGTGATTTGTGAAATAACCATCCTCTTCCGCATCACGTACAACCTGTTGCTTGATTTGTTGTTGAGAAGCTTGCTTTTGAATTTGTGGATTGAATTGCTGAGAACCCTGCTTTTGAATTTGTGGATGGAATTGCTGAGAACCCTGCTTTTGAATTTGAGGACGTGGTACTGCACTTTGAAGCTCGTCACGAGGTGGCTGATTTTGAATAAAAGATTCATCGATTTGTTGTTGAGATCGTTGCTTCTGTAACTGTTGACTATACTGAGATCGTAGAACCGATTTTGTTTGTTCATTGTTGTCCTCCTCATCTTGTTGATATTCCGATGCTTGTTCGTCATCACGATATTGATCGTATACATCATCTTGATAATATTGATCAGCTATTTCTGCATCATCTTCATCCTGATTTCGAGCTTCCTGTGGTTGTTGTTGCCTTTGTAGTCTTTCACGTTCTCGTCTTTTACGTTCTTCCTGTTGTTCCAATATAAGCTTCTGTTGCTCTTGCTGATATTTTTGAATTTGATAAAGCTTAGATTCTTCCTCCTCCTCTTGTTGTTGAATATACATATCACGAAATTCTTGACCTTTATCAACCGGTTGATTGAGAAAATTTTCCATTTGTTCGGTAGGAGTACCAGATGGTGGCAAATTAGGTCGTGTCTTTGAAAAACTACTATTATTTGAACGGCTATACTGTTGAAGGGCAGAAGGAGGGTGTAAAGTACTTGAAGCATCGGATTTCCTTTTACCGCTACTTCTACTGCTTTTAGAACTTTTCACCCATGGCAAATTGAAATTGCTTAGAGCGCTTATTCGATTAGAACTATGAGTTGATAAAGCGAGATTATTAGTGTTATTTAAATTTTGTTCCCATTCTGTCATGTATCGATTCCTCTCTTCTATCATAACCCATTCACATTCATGAATTAGACCGCGACGAGGTTCAATAAAAACCCATTCACCCCATTGTTCATCTTGCTCTTCAACATTTGCCTCTATCCAAACGTAAGGGAATAAAGCATCAATCGTTTCAATTGATAGATGAGAACTATCCACAACATCAACCGTTTGATCTATTATTTGCCAATCTTCCCAATCTTCATATGTGTGACCATGCATGTAATTCGATGAATCCGAAGAGATTGAAGGTGGACGACGTTTTATACACAGGAAAGAAATTGTTTTACGACGCGTGGGGGGTCTTTGAGTCCTCACTTCCTGAGATTCTTCACGTCTCGTATTTTCAAACACTGTTGAACCACCATGACTAACGTTATTATTAAAATTACTACTACTATGATTATCGACACCGCCACCGCCACCGCCGCCACCATCGGACGAAGGTCCAAGCGTTGAAGATAGACTAAATATATTTGAACTATTATCTATTGACTCGCGGAATCCTTGATTACGAAAACCATCCCACTTATGTTCACTACCGTTACTATTTTCATCATGAAATTCACTACTACTTGAATCGTTATTCATATCATTAAAATCAGATGAACTCATCAATGGGTCGCTAACAAATTCGATTTTTGGTAACGGCGGAAGTCCTTCAAACCGATCATTTTTTTGGCTACCGTTTCGCTTCTTTTTTCCGTCACTCTTCTTTCTTTTGACCTTAATGGTATTCGGGTTTATATTTCTATCGTCATAAGCAAAGAATAATTTTAGTACTTCTTCGGACATGATCCCTAACCCTTTATTTTGCAATTCCTCCCATTTGGACTCTGCGGTTCTTGGATCATCGATTATAATTATGTTTGACGATTTAAAACTTGCTTTACGTTTCAACGCACTAAGCGAATCCAATAATTCTGGGAATATATCCGCCAAAGAACTTCTATTTGATTTATTTGTATTAATGGTTCTAGTTTTTCTAAGTAAACTTGATTGTCTACTAATTGAATTAGAATTTGATTTATTATCATGAAAATTATTATTACTAGAATCGGAGATCTGCCTCCTTGATCTGATGACCTCATCCAAATCAGAAATGGTAATATCGGGTAAAGAATGCTCACTCGAGATGATCTCTCTACCATCACCGCTAACGCTACTATTCATTAAACATTTTTTTCTACATTCAACATAATCTTGTAGCAATAAATGCAACCTCTCTGGTAATTGGGTTGAACAAGCCCTTTCTCTCAAATAAGCTAAGAACAAATGAATTAACGCGTGAGAATATTTTAACCATTCTTGATAGGCCGTTAGAAAATTTTCGTAAGTTTTCGTTTTTACTTCATTAAAAATATGAAGTGACATTGATTTTAAGATGCGTGTTGGATGCATATGATTAATATGTGATTGTTCCATTGTCATTGCGAATAAATCAAATAATTCCACAAGTATTCCTTTATTCTGTCTTGGAAGATATGAAAGGAATTGATTAAATGATCCTTTTCTCGGGTCATATTGCCATTCTATATATATATATATTTTTTTTTTTTAAAAAAAAAAAAAAAAGATCCGATCGTTAACACACAATTCGTTTCATTAAAATTTAAATCATCTTTCATCTTTCCATATTATTACTTTACCTTGTTCATATCTGACGAATTCCTCATAACATTCATAGGGCACGATCTTGGAAGTACAATTTTTCATTGTCCATCGCATACCAGCGATAACATTATGTATATTTTGAAATTTTAATTCATCCTCGAATTCGGTACGGTTATCTCTCAATAAACAATTAATGAGGTACCTGACCTCATCTGCTCCATCACCGATTCGTATGGGTCTAAAGATATCTGATTCCGTCAATCCTAATAGATGGGAAGAAGGGAAAATTATTTGGTTAAGAATCAACTTCCATTTTTACTCTTAATTCTATGTGACACAATATCACAACACCCCTGTGACAAATAACCAAGCGACCCCGTGACCAAATCGAACTAAATGCATACCTCTCAACACAACCTCTCCGGCGCACAAATGAATAATTAGGTAAGCTTCACCCAAAGTTACCAATTGTTCAATATCCCGTTTTTGTTTTCTTTTTGTGCTCACACTCATCTTCCTTCTCATACTTCCACCACTTCCCCTTTTTAATTTTAAGCTGTCACTTTTCTGCAAATGTTGTAAATGTGGATTGACTACATGATGATTTAGATTTGTTAATGAGGCAGGTTTCCCTCGGAGCATTTTAAAAGGATTTTGTTTGTGTCGTCGCTTTTTTTTTTGGTTTGAGAACAAAAAATTTATAAAACTAAAATAAATCTAATTTTTTGTTTGTACAAAAAAAAAAAGTACTTAAATTATGTACACTCTATTAATGATATACGTAACGTATTATTAAATAAACCTGCAAACTATGGACAAAATTTTTTTTTCTCTTTTTCGGTTACGGTGAAATTTTAAGTGAAAAAGGTGTACATATTATTATTACTAGGTTGCTTTTTTAACTGATTTTCGGTAATATTTTCTGAATTTAATAAAAAAATTATTATTTTTTTTTTTTTTTTGGACTCTATCCAAAAAAAACCTATTTAAGCAGATGAAAAAGATTTTTTTTTTTCTAGAGAAGAGTTCTTTGTATTTATTTATTTATTTTATATATATATCTATATATATATTTTTTTTACTTATTGCTTTCTTCTTTCTTTTTCAAAAAAGAAAAGATTCAAGCGACGAGAGGGAGGTAAAAAGATTTCAATTTTTTTTTTCTCGAAAGGAAAAAAAAAAAAAAAAAATATTGGAAAGAATCCGATGAATTTTTTTTTTTTTTTTCCTAAAAAAAAAAAATGTATCAGTCTATTAAAAAAAAAAGGGACTCTTGATATTTTTAAATATGCAAATAATCTGCATTCTGATGTTCTTTGACCGAAACATTGTATTACTCTAGAAGGAAGCGAAGTATTTGAGGTAACTTACAATAAACCACTAATAGGAAATGAAATTTGGATGGTCGATCGTATTGTTCTAAATAACATATATAAAAAAAAAAAAATAGATGCTTTCGGAAATATGAAAGCTAATGTATCATAATATAAAAAGGCATATAAAAAAAAAGTCTTTGTTTATGTCAAACATGTACAATCCGTATTCCATCAGATAAGTAAAAAAAAAAAAAAAAAAAAAATAAGAGAAAAATAAAAGAATCTTTTTTTTTGTTTTATATACAGTAATCGTTTTGTTTGATTATTTCGCTTGTTTATTTCTCTACCTTATTTATTTTTATACACAACAAGATATTTCTTGATCACATCCATAACAAATTTTTTCAATCAAGGAATTGAAAGACTCGTTTGATTTATGCAAAGGAATGTCGGCATCACAGTGGTACCAGTAAGCTGCATGAACAAAAAAAAATAATAATGAATTTTTTTTTTTCTTTTTAATATCAACAAAATAATAACCATCCTTCCATTCTTTGATTTTTATTTACGTACGCCATTGTAAAGAGGTAATTGAGGGGAAAATGTAACCTCGCTCAAGTGATAGTTGACATCATCGAAAAAAAATTGAATGAATAAAAAACGTAACGGTTGGCATTTGTAAGAAAAGATGTTGAAATGTTGTGATGTTGTGATGAGGTGATGTGGTGCAACCAAGAAAAGATTGCATAAAGTCGAAAAACCTTATTTATTATAAAAGGATCGTCACGTGATCGACGCTGCTGCGCGCGGTGAAGGAGGTTTTCTAAATAAATGAAAGGTTAGTATTGTTTTAAATATGGGAAACCAGCACAAAGGTTTTAGGTTTAAAAATAAAATAAAAAAAACACGAATCATCAAATGAATTAGTATATTTTATTTTAAACCCATAGTTAGTTAATTGATTTCGGTGATGATTATCAAACGTTTTAATAATATAATTATCGTAATGATCTTCGAACTTATAAAAAAAAACAAAGTTAAATTTTCTATAATAATTAATGATTGACTCCAAGTATGAGTTAAAGAAAGTAATCTCAAAGAATGCAATTTAAATTTATTAATACCACAAGCACTTCGCATAATAACGTATGCAAAATGTAAGATGCATGCGCCAAATATAAATAAAGATTATATTTATAATAATAAATAGGTTTTTACTTCTTACTTCAAAAACAATTACACGATAAAACTTTAAAATGACAACGTAAAAAAAATTTGAAATGACAATCTATTAGATTTAACTAAAAATGTACCTTGGTGATTATAAAAGAATGAAAAGAACGAATGAAGGACGTTGGCCGATAAGCACAGCCCATTATATGCTGATTACATCAACCCTAAGTTAGTTAAAAATAAAAAAAGGAGTTTGCTTTGTAATCGTGTGAATTTATATTTCTTTTTAACTTTTTTATTTTCTTTACCTATTTTCGGATAAATCATTCCGAACGAAAGAAATTACTAGATTGATTGGTCACTTATGGTAATGTATTACTATATATACATTTTTATGATTATCTATCTAAAAGTATATGTGAGATGCTTTGCTTTGATTAGTCGTTGTCTTAATTATTTAATTTTCTAATTATGATTTAGTAGGAAAAAAAAAGTAGCATTAATCCATGTGGTTGAAATTTTCAAAATGTCTAGTCAAAACGTGCCGACTTAACCTTTAAAATCCATAATTTATATTGCTGTTTTATAAATAAACAACAAATAGTAAATTTCCCGATGTGAAAAATGAATAGATCTTTGCATAAGATTCGCTCGATTGTTTTTTTTTTTTTTTAACTGTCGAAATGTTTTGTTGATGTTGGTGCAACGGCATTTCACGAACGAAGTGAATTCCGTACCGTAGAATCCAAGATGCTTTTTGCGTCATCTCCAATTTGAAGTTGATCATTTTGATTGGTTCATGACTGATTTACTTCCTTTTTTCGGATTTGTTTTTAATTAAGCTGTTTATCAATAGATTTCAACTGATGGATCATTTTTAAACAAATAATTTGGTAAATAAAATGAATGATAACATTACCTTTTGTTTACTTTTATACATCATCGTTTAGGTTGGGAATCCCGAAACTACCACAACCATCAGAATTAATAAATATGAGTCACGTTATAATCACATGATTTGTCATGTCTCGTGACTTGACTTTAATTGCCAAACGATCCATCATGTTCTCGGGCTGAAATGCATTCGAACTTGGAATTAAATCATTGTTCATTTTTCTGACAATTTTCTCTCTTTCAATTTGCAAAAGGGTCCATTGAAAACTCCTGCTAATATAATTGTTAATATAATGAATTTATTATTCAAAAATGTAAGATGACGAGCCTTATCATGTGAAAAAAAAAATGGATTTTCATTAAAGATTAGCAAACCTATCAAGGATGCGCATGTATTTAAGAAAATTTCTTCAATTAAACGGTAACTGCTGAGTTGTGCATAAGGCGTCAAAGACCTGAAACGAAAAATGTTTGTTACCTACTCCTTATCAAATCAATAATTACGTAACGTCACCTAATAAATTTCGGGTGGTTTCCTTATGAAGGTTTAAATTGTACCAGATGTCTGGTTGGTGCATTCAGAACGAATGGTGTGATTTTCTGATTTTTTTGTTAATCTCACCAAAATCTCGAAAATTGCAGTGTGAATGTTGAATCAAATGGACAAAGGATATTAATGGAATTTTCATGTACGGAATATTCAAGAAAAATGGACGTCAGGTCATGTGATTATTTGTTTTTATTTCCGTAATTGTACTGTACGTAACGCACCATCTCATCTTTCGGTGTACCATATAATTAATTAAATTGTTACATCAAAAGAGCTTGAGGCCGACTACACTTTCTTCTGAAACACAAGTTTTCGAACATGCCGTGGTACAATTAAGGGACGCTTACCCGGAAATAACTTCCGCCTGTAATTCCTTTAATATCCTAATTGAATAACAAATTCAGAATTGATTCTCTTTAACAAAGTTTACATTATAGATGCGAAAATGGATTTTAAAAAGTGACCAATAAAATTCGAATTAAACAATTAAAAAAATATCTCGGATGACAATTGTTCTTATTGTGGTAAACCCATTTATTGAGAAAATGTGGTGTGATCCATATAGAATTTGACATGAAAAATTCATCTAATTGATGAATTCTCGATGAAATCCTCTTTGAAGGTGATTATGATGTAAGAAATTCTTTGTACGAATTATAATTCAAATGACCAGGTATAATATATAAATTATAAATTAAAATCATTTATATTGTATATAAAGTTTGTGTAAGGTACAACCATTCATTTATAGAATTATTAAAATATTTGGTTCATTAAAATTTACAAAGCTATACTTTTTTATTAGAAATGTTTTTCAATTGTTTGATATGAAATACAATACTAAATTGAAAACTTCAAAGTACAATAATAGGCTGAAAAAATATGACAATTTGTCAAAATAAAGTAAATTTCTATAATGTTGTATTTGTATTAATAGCTTTCTATTACTTTTAGTATATTATCAAATATAAAATACCTTTTAATGGAATGATAATGTCAAATAAACTGAATGTAATAAAGTAAAATTTTTTTAAAAAAAAATTGTGAATATTAGTTTAATTCTAATTTCAATAGTTATTATTTTGAAAAATAAAGAATAATCTATAAGAAATATAAGTAAAATATAATAACTTGACCAAGTTTTTATTCTTTTCTAGAAACTTTTAATTTAACTAACATATCAATCAAATTTAAATAAAAAATCATTTGTAAAACTATAATTCATAAGATATTTGATTTTAATATTTTAAGTAAAATTAATATAATTTTCTAAATTAAACTTTATAATTTAAAAGTTAATTTTTGTTAAATATAAAATTAACTTATATATGATTTATAATAAATGCTACTATAAAAATAACAAATTTTATTAAAAAAAAAAAGACAATTTTAAAATAATAAATAAAAATAAAATATATATATTTAAATAATATATAAAAAAAAAATAAGTAATATAAAATATAATTCAATTATATAATTATTTTTTTTTTTATCTTTTTAATGACTTAGCAAATTACCTATAATTTTAATATTAATTAAATTAATTTTAAAAATTATTTATTAGAAAATAATTTTTTATAATAAAATATAAAATATTTTTAAATAAATTAATAAAAATAATTTCTTTTTATTTTATATTTACTAATAGTTATTTATGATTTTTTATAATGATTTTTAAATAATATAATAATATTAAATGTAAAATACAT